GACAGAGCCAGGCTCTGCTCAGGGACGTCCATTGACAGGACAAGGGGCAACAAATACAAGCTGGAACACAGGAGATTCCACAAAAATACTAGAAAAAACTTTTTGGCTGTGCGGGTGCCGGAGCCCTGGCCCAGGCTGCCCACAGAGGGTGTGGAGTCTCCTGCTCTGGAGATTTCCAAACCCCCTGGACGTGTTCCTGTGGGGCTGCCCTGGGTGACCCTGCTCTGGCAGGGGGTGGCACTGGATGAGCTCTAGAGCTCCCTTCCAACCCCAGCATTCTGTGATTCTGTGATACAGATCTCTAGACATCCAATTTGCTTACCCTATGATGTCCAAGGTGAAAAGGAGGAGAAAATGGGGTGTCACAGGTAAAAAAGACGTCGTAGCAGTGTATCTGAAGGTGGAGCTGCCTTAAGCAAACCGCTACCGAACACATCTGGCACCTGAACACTTTGCCCAGTTGGGCCGGGGTGTGTGGTTGTGCTGGACCTGATGGAGTTGGGCGCCGAAGCTGTCTCGCTCTTTGGCAGTCTCTTGGTGGACTTCCTGAGCGTTTTGTGTTCCTGCCGGAGCTGCTCAAAATCATTCTGCAGGGTCGTCATCTGGAGGATACAGAAAGCAGGGTTGTAACGAACTCACCAGAGTAACGGGGATGTTCTGGTGAGCAGTCAGTACATGGACTTACAGAGAGCTATCCCCAGCTACTTGCTTCTAGATTGGAAGAAAAATAAATAATTTATTAATTTTTACTGTCACCATTTGCAAAACCTTCTGACAAAACATGTAAATTATACTTGTTTCTGTGTTTAAAAATAGGTCTTAACCCACCAGGAGAGAGCAGGAGAAACACAGGCTTCTGTTCCAGGCATTTTTACATGCAACCCTGTCAGACCCACTATACTTTATTTAGAAAGAGTTTCTTTTTTATATGATTTATCTCTGCTCTACGAGTACAAAGCCACGTGGCGATTCAGAGGTAACTGCAGCTCTTGTCTGGGGTTTGAGGGCTGTGTCTACGTTTATTAAGCCCTGACGCAGTGACAGGAACAGCGGCTCGAGCTGTCCCGCGTGTGCCGTGGCATCGCTCCGGTGCAAGCTAAGCACTCAAACATTTCTTCCAAAAAGGATACGACACGAGGAACCTGGTCCAAGCTTTTCATCATGGGGAAAACACACTGATCAGCCCCACAGCTGGGTCGATGACCTCAGAAGTTCAGTAGGTTTGTATTTATGTGGTATCGCTTGGAAATTAGGAGCTTATGCTCACCTCCTCGAGCAGATCAGCGTATTTCTTCTCCAGCAATTCAAAGTCTTTCCTGAGCACGACGTCTCTGCAGTCTGCTAGCGCTTGGTTCAGCTTCACCTGGGTCCGTGTGAGGTCCTGCCGAGCTACCTTGAGTGCCAAAGACAACTTCACCACATCTTCACCTTTGGCATCTTTAAACAACAGCCCATAACAGTAAAATAGACCGTAAAGAGACAGTAAATGGTCTGTTAAGCTTTTAGACCACATAACTCTACAAAGTGTTGGTAAGAGCTGGGTAGGTGTGGACTCTGTGTTATTGTTAAAGACCTGAAGTGTTCACATTTGCACCCACTGTGTGTCAACAGCCATGAAAGGGTCCCTACTACCAGGAGTAACCGCGGGCAAGCGGTGACAGTGTAGAAAAGGACAGGCCAGCTAGAAATGGGATAGGTTCAAACTTGAAAGCAGTGTGCAAAAGCATACTCCATCCAAGTTTTAGCCCTCTGAAAGGGTGAATTATATCCATTTCATGATCCGAGTTACGCCAGTTAAGATGAACAATCCATATTTAACGATGCTAAGGGTACAACGTTGTAAGCACGCACGTGCTTGTACAGAAGAACTTACAACATTAGTAGCAGGAAGATATTTATTTCCTCCCCCTCTTTGAGTGTGACAGTGCAAGAGCCAGAAGGAACAAGAGACCCAAGGGAAGATTTCTGCCAGCTTGGGAACAGCAGCTCCATTTCCATCCATTTCCCATGTTGGTACTGACTTCACTTTTGCTGGAAAGGTAGAAGCAGATCAAAAGTTGCTATTTTCTCTGTTTACAGTGGACTCAGAACATCTCTGTGGCCTAGGGATGGAAACGGAGCTGCTGGGAACCTGTCCAGGATTTTCTCTGGACCTGGGCAAGGTCCAGCATCGCTTCGGTGCCTGATGTTCCGTGCCTGCTCCAAAACTTCCACTGGCCCCAAAGGACGAGAGGTAAGAGATCAGGTGTATAAACCGCATCCAGCTGCAACGGGGAAACGTTTGACTCCTCCTTGTCTAACTTACCTGAGTCTGAAGAGAACACATTTCTTCCCTCGTGCCATCCATGAGCTTTAACAGGCGTTGTTTTCTCATGCTTTAAGGTACTTATTTCGTCTTTCTCCTTTTCCTGCAGTGCCAGTATCTGCCGGGTGCACTCCTCGGAGACGGTTGTGACCGTAGCCTGCAGGGGCTCTAGGGCACGAATCATCTTCTTCTGGTGAGCTAAAGAACGCAGAGGTGGGCTCTCACCGTGAGCAACAACGCCTGGATATCGCACTCGGCTGCACGGTTGGCTGTTCAACCGCCGGTGGACGGACTGCGGAGCTTCTACTGCTTGGCCTGGTGAGTGCCCAAGGACCGGGAGCGCTCTGTTTTGGGACTATATCCTGTTGTTTATCCAGCTGCGCGTATGAATTTCAGGGGGATTGCTGATTACCCTATCTATCCTGGCTTGGCAAACAAAGGATGACCAGTATTTTGCCTTGTTTTCTCGGGTACTTAAGGTTTTGATGAGATATATTGAGCATTAATGGTTTTATGATGTTTCACTACGTGGGAAGGTGTCGCTATTTCAGCACGGGCAGCACGAGGGGCTAAAGACAGCTGGGAATTAGCAACACACCCTCCTTTGTCAAGGCACATTCTTGACAAACTTCCACCTGCTCGCTTGGCTCCGAAGGCACGACTCCTGCAACTTTTTGCGTACAAATCCGTCGTCTACGTCTACCCACTCTCCCCTCTTTGTAGGTTTGCCTTTCTCCTCAGTACATCTAGTAAGGAACACACGTGCTCTTCTTGTCTTTCTTTGCTGTTACCTGTGCTGTTCACTCTCAGCTATTTGCCCCTGAACATTTTTCGTGAAGATCTTTACTCGAGGAACGTAGCAACAGGACTTAATTTGGGTCCCACACCCTAGTGCAGGGCAGGACTTCATCTGATGCCACCTCCTGGGTGCGGAGGCTTGTTTTTGTGACTAGATGGAACTCCACCAGGAGAATAAAACCATCAAAGACAGGATATGGTGTGGGTCAAGTGAGGCTGTGAGCAAGCCTCATTCCGTTTATGAATAACTGCATTATTCAGCAATCCATACCGTTCACTTCCTCTCCTGAACAGGGGGATAGAAATGCTGGTGGATGCTGAATAACCTGCCTTGGCGAGTTTTTTTTTACCTCCTCAGTAAAACCAGGTCTCGATGTTTATGTACGAACCCCACGCAACAGATTTTGCATTTCAAAAGCTAAAGCCTGTACGTAAACCTACGAACAGAAACTACTTCTCTTGCTACACCTGGGTGTGAATTTCCTCCCCACTTTATAACCTTAGCAAAGGTTGTGCAAAACTCTTTCGCTCTGATACTTGTACGAGGACAAGAAATGGCGAAACCAAGAACGGTAGCATGAGGGGTTCTGCCTCTGCGCTGACTGGTTGCTCGGTTAAAACTCCAGCAGACCTGTTTTGAGGTGCACAATTAATTTGTTTTGTTTATTTGATTCCTTCTTTAAACAGAACGGGGAATGTCAGGTTGAAGGGGAGAACCTGCCCTGGCAGCGGGTGCAGGGGTGAGCACCTTAAATGTCATGCAGGATATATGCCTATAGGGCAGAAAAAAACAGAGGCGAGCAAAGCTGCTCAATCAGACGACAACAAGGAGCCAGCTGGCTGAGGGATACAGTGCTGTGGTGTAAAGGAGGCTTGGTTTCAGTTTCAAAGGGAGCTGAAACGCTACAGATAAGAGTACGAGGGCTTAGGTGGAGTGACCAGGCACCTCTCTAAGCGAACCGCCCCGTTTATCAGCTCCAAACGGCGTCTTAAGACTCGAAGCACTGCAGTGGTGAGTGACTACGGGCGGAATATAAAATTCTGATGGTGGGAGCCCTCAGAGGGGCCATCCCTCACTGATACCGAAGCTGTGGTTTTTGTTCAGCGCAGTCAGACGTAATCGAAGAACAAAGATAAATATTCCTGAGCGCAGTTCTACAAATCAGTAAACGTCCTTCCTTTCCTCTTTCTTTCTCGAAAGCTTCCTTTTGTCTCGTTCCTAGCACAGGCGCTTTCTTGAGCAATTCAGCTCACTGAACCAACAGGAAACTTTGCAGGTCTTTGTTTTTCCTGCTGGGTGAGTTGACTCAGCTCCTGCGAGTGGCAGAGCTGGTGTGTCCCAGGCGGCGGGAGTGAACCAGCAGGACTGGGGCTGTGGGACCTCCCTGTTTCCGTGGCCGTGAGGGTGTGGATTAGGTCACCGCTCCCTTGGCTGGGCAGGTAAGCTGATGTCTGTGCTAGGAGGAGGCCTGGAAATCACTTATCGATAACCTCATCAGTCATAGAATCGTGGAATCATTAAGGTCGGAAAAAACCTCTAAGATCAAGCCCAACCGTCAACCCAACGCTACCATGACCACTAAACTACATCCACAAGTGCCACATCTACATGTTTTTTGAATGCCTCCAGGGATGGGCACTCCACCACTGCCCTGGGCAGCCTGTGCCAGTGCCTCAGCACTCTTTCAGTAAAGAAATTTTCCCTAATATCTAATCTAAACCTCCCCTGGTGCAACTTGAGGCCGTTTCCTCTTGTGCTATCGCTTGTTACTTGGGAGAAGAGAGCAGCACCCACCTCACTACAACCTCCCTCAGCTAAAAGGGGCTGGAATTCACGCAGGCTTTTTACAGGTAAAAGCCGTAATTAGAAAAAACGAGTTGTCTATATTCAGAAAGGGGAGAGGATCCCAATCCCAACTTAGAAAAAAACCCACAAAATATTCCCATATGTTTTATTTTTAGAGTATGCTTGCTACCATGGTGTAGCATTTAGTTCTGAAAACAAAGCTACCGTAAAAGAGACGTTTTGCTCTGAAGTCTCCAGAGACTTCAAGGAGAAAAAGGGGAAATATCACATCCACACAATATGGAGGAGTTGGTATATAAAGGCTTGTAAAAATAAAAAAAAGTTTCGGAAAGCAGTACAGTAGCAGCTACAGCATGGAACTAGATGATCTTTGAGGTCCTCTCCCACCTACATCATTCCGTGATTCTACGACACCAGTAATCTCTCTGGCAGTCGAAGCGAAGAAATGGCTACTAAAGAATTTTGTAAGGAACCTGATTTAAAGAAAAAAAAACCGGTTTATGCAGCATGAAAATGTGCTTGTTCACCTGGTTGAAGGACACTGCGCAAAGAAAACCCGCTGTCTGTAACGAGGGACGCCGATGAGGTAGCCCAGGTAACGGGTACCGGGATAAACAATATCTCCCCTTTCAAAGGGTGTCCCTGGAGAAAACTGCCGACATTTGATAGCGGCTCGGTGGCGGGGTGAGATTGAGCCCCTGGTTACCAGCTATTTCCAGCCCTCTGGGCTTGTTTACTGGTATGGCTGTGGCTTTGGAACGCCGGGCGAAGCGTAAAGCCCCCCATGAAGGGCCAGGGAACAGCCTGTTCCGCTCTTGGCCCTGCCAAATATATCAGCATATATCAAATATATCAGCAGCTCCACTGCTCTTGCCCGAGCTGTGTGTGCAATAAAGGTTTCAAAAACCTAAAAATCTGAAATCTAATGTCGTGGTTTGACCCTGGCCGGCAGCCAGGGACCCACACAGCTGCTCTCTCACTCCCCCTTCTCCACCATACCAAGGGAGAAAATATTTCAAAGGGCGTAAGGTTTGAGATAAGGACAGGGAGATCGCTTTCATTTACTGTCCTGGGCAAAACAGACTCGATTTTGGGGAAATTAATTACATTTATTAAGAGAACAAATCAGAGAGGAGTAGTGAGAAATAAGAAAAACCAGACAGATCTTAAAAGCGAAACACCTTCCCCCCCTCCCTCCCTTCTTCTCGGGCTCAACATCAATCCTGCTTTCTCCACCTCCTGCCCCCGAGCGGCGCAGGGGGACAGGGAAGGGGGTTTACGGTCAGTTCATCCGATGTTGATTCCACCGCTGTTTCTTCACTCCGGGGGAGGACTTTCCACTCTTCCCAGGGTCACTGTGGGGTCCCTCTCACGGGAGACAAGCTTCACACTTTCTTCTCCAGCGTGAGTCGTCCCATGAAGGGCAATTCATCACCAACTGCCCAACGGGAGACACCCCGTGACAGGCAGCCCACCCCTCCCGAGTCTGGGGTGCAGTCCTTCAGGGAGACTCGGGCTTTGATTTGGGACCTGGAACTAGATGATCTTTAAGGGCCCTTCCAACACAAGCTATTCTCTAATTCGGAAACAGAAACTGCCGTAGAAGCTGTGGAGTTCACAAGAAGCTGTGACCGACCCAACCACATGCGAACAGCCGCAACCCAACATATAAATAAACTGCTTTTTGCGCAAGTTCTCTAATGTGAGCTGCAAATTCTACGTGTAGGTGCCTACTCTTCTCATCTATTTTTTCCATTGGATGGCAAATCTAAGTAATCCGTCTCGGCACTTAATTTCGACTCGAGAAAACCTTGCGTCAGACCTGTAACTTCACTTCCTGTGAGTTCTTTTGAGTCAGATCGAGAGATTGCAGCTCTTTCCTCAGGTAAGACTCCAGTTGCTCCAAGTATTGTGGCTTTGGGGTGGCAAGAAGGGCCTGGCGGTTGCTGCAGAGACACAGGAAAAGAATGGACGCGTGGACTGAAGCGCGTCACGTACGTAAGAACGAGCTTGCGCTAAATCAGCTCAGCGATCTTGGTTTTCTTCCTACTGCCCATTGCTTCTCAGCAGGACTTTTCTTTCTTTTTTACTCTAGTATGTTCTCTCAAAACGTACGACTCATTTAAAACGCCCTGATGGAGGAAGAATCTATCTGAGACATTCTATTATTACTCTTCAGTTTAAGAACTTCGTAGTGCCTTTTGGTATAAAAAGCCAGGTGAGGGGGTTCTCTGTGTCAGAAAAGGATAAATTATGTTATTTGAAATGGGTCAAGGAAAAAAGCCGTTTGGGAAAAGAAACACCTCCTAACATAGTACATCTCCCGAGGTTCTAGGTTCCTCGAGAGATTCTAGACCAAATGTCCCTTTGCTGGATGTTACCATCTGTATCTCATATTAAACCCAGCTGGAATTAAAAGGAAAAAGTCCAACTGTCCTTATTATATCATCTACAACTGCGTCCTGCAGTCTGGCAGAGCGCCCCAAGAGGCTCTGCCCCTGTCCCTGGGGGTGCTCCAGGGGAGCTGGGACCCCGCAGGGTGACGACAAGGAAACCAGGGACCAGCAGGACACGATGTCACGGGACTTGGACAAGAAGAGCAGATGGTAACCAGGGTCAGCCGTAGTTCAGTGGTGGTCACGCAAGTCTGAAACGATGAGGAAGGTCCTGATGTCAAGCTGGGATGTCAGGTCAGCAGGTTGGGGTGAGCAAGGTGTCAGAAACTTGGCTACACAAAGACTTCTTGCACCTCTTTCTCACAAAGCTCTTTTCCCAGCGCGGCCTCCCAGGTTAGCCAGCTCTGCCGTACCAAAACCTGGGCTAGACCCCAGGCACCAGGGCTGGAGGGGGGCGTGCAGAGCCTATCGGTGCACTTGGGGCCCTGAGAGTCAATGGTCATCAAATCATTAACCGACAGCATTTTACAGCGACGTTTATGCTGAGCGCAACTCGCTGTTAGGCAAATACTTGACGTTTCCTAGAGAAGCCACTAGGCAGAACCAACGTCTTCTCCGTCGTGCTGGACTCTCGTGGGGTAACCCAACATCACTCTTACGCTGGAAGAGGTTCTGCTTTGTAAGGCCTCGGCTTTCAGAAACTGCTTCCAGCAGTCCCGGTGGCTTAACCAGTAGCCCAGGCTGAGCTTACCTAGGCTGGCTGTGCTCCGGGGCGCAGCAGGGTTTGTGATTCCTTAGGACTGTCTGTCCGGATGCAAACGCAGGCCAGGTGGACCAGCGGCCTCTTGCAGAAAGCTGGAAAGAGGGGAATGAGAAAAGGAGAGAACGCAAAACAAGGAGCCAAACTCCAGAATCAGTACAGCTGCCTGCCGATAACATGGGTTGTACCTCAGCCAGGACCTAAAAACCAAATAAACTTTGAAGAAATCATCTTCCCAGACTAGTACCATTTGTGAACCTCCTCCTGGTGGC